ATAGATTACGAGAAGGCGTTTGGTTCAGTAGAAATATCAGACGTCATGCAGACACTGTGGAATCAGGGCGTAGATGAAGTATATAAACATTCTGGAAGAAATCTACTGGGGATCAACTGCTACCATAGTGCTTCTTAAAGAAAGCAACAGAATACCAATCAAGAAGGGTGTAAGGCAGGGGTACACAATCTCCCCAATGCTATTTACCGCGTGCTTACAGGAGGTTTTCAGAAGCCTAGAATGGGAACAGTTAGGGATAAGAGTTAATGGAGAATACCTTAGTAACCTGCGCTTCGCCGATGACATTGCATTGCTGAGTAACTCAGGGGACGAATTGCAACTCATGATTACGGAGTTAGACAAGGAGAGCAGAAAGGTGGGTCTTAAAATTAATTTGCAGAAAACGAAAATAATGTACAACAACCTCGGAAAGGAGCAGCGCTTTGAGATAGGTAATAGTGCACTTGAAGTTGTAAAAGACTATGTCTACTTAGGGCAGGTGATAACCGCAAAGCCGAACCACGAGATTGAAGTAACTAGAAGAATAAGAATGGGGTGGAGCACATTCGGCAAGCACTCTCAAATTATGACAGGTAGATTGCCCCTATCCCTCAAGAGGAAGGTACAGAACAGCTGTATCTTTCCAGTACTTAGCTACGGAGCAGAAACCTGGAGACTTACAAAGAGGGTTCAGCTTAAATTGAGGACGACGCAGCGAGCAATGGAAAGAAAAATGGTAGGTGTAACCTTAAGAGACAAGAGAGCAGAGTGGATTAGGAGACAAACGGGAGTTAAGGATATCATAGTTGAAATAAAGAAGAGGAAATGGACATGGGCCAGGCATGTAGCACGTAGACAGGACAACCGCTGGTCATTAAGGGTAACTAACTGGATTCCCAGAGAAGGGAAACGGGTTAGGGGGAGACAGAAGGTTAGGTGGGCAGATCAGATTAAGAAGTTTACGGGTATAAATTGGCAGCAGCAAGCACAGGACCGGGTTAACTGGGGGAACATGGGAGAGGCCTTTGTCCTGCAGTGGACAAGTCAGGCTGATGATGATGATGATGATGATTTATTATAGAATCCATCATACTCGTGAACATGGCCGGAGTTTTGCATAGACCAAATGACATAACCTTGAATTGGTACAGGTCATCAGGAGTGATGAACACAGTCTTTTCTTGGTCTTTTTCATCCCCAGCAATCTGCCAATAATCAGAGTGAAGGTATACTGATGAAAAGTATCATGCACTGTGGAGACAATCAACAGCTTTATCAATTCAAGGTAAAGCGTAAACGTCTTCATTTGTAACTAGGTTTACATGATGGTAATAAATGCAGAAATGCCACACGTCATTTTTCTATTTAACAAGCACAATGGGTGATGCTCAAGAGTTCGATGAGTTCTCAATAACACCTTTTGCTAGCATCTTGTGCACTTAATTTTGAATAACCTTATGCTCTGGAGCCAATTATAATATGGTATGCAGTGAATCAGAACTGCACCCCTAATGTTTATGCAGTACTTTCTAAGTGAAGTACGGTCTAGTGGTAGAGTATTGAATATGTCACGGTAGGAGGTCAAAAGGCAACAAAGTGTGGCTGATTGCTAAGGTTTGAGGTACAGGGTGATCATGGGGCATAATGTGGTGTCAAAGCATGCAGCATGTTTCAGCTGACATGAAAAATTTGAGCATTAGACTGCCACAAACGTGATGACATGATCACCTGTTAAGGACTGCAGTACGGCAATTGAGATGCCCTGAGGTAGCAGTTGCTTTCAGAAACTGAAATTGATAATTGGGAGATATATCAGGCTAGAGACTATGGCTACAATGGAATGTCACACAGTGATGTTGTGCACCCAGAGGTCATCAGGAATAGGCATGATATCATAGTCACTATCAAGCATGAGTGAAGGTGTTACCAATTTTACTAATTGTTGTATCTTGCTTATAGTTACTTCAAGTTTGATTTCAGTGTATAGGTTGGCAACACTGTGTCCCTGTGCTTAGATATATTTGTGGAACATCTATTAAAGAGGACACCATGCAACACGCAACCGGCGTGTGCAAGTAATATCACTTCATTATAGTGACGATGAGTTCCCAGGAGATACCTATTCACGCTTACCCAATAGGCTTGGCCAGCATCGCTCCACGAATGCTGTTCCTCATAATGCAAGATTGTCTCGTGCAGTCATGGCTCTGATGTCACAACACGTTTAAGGCCGCCCTGCTGGCATTTGGCACTTCAAAGTTCTCCTCAGAGTGATGCAAGGCTTTTCTGCATTTTTTGGGACCCTGAGGTCAAGGTATTTTCAACACCCTGTGTTTTACAGACAGCAGAAAAGGCAGAGAAAGAAACCACAGCTATGCCCAGTGTGCATGATCCCGAAAAGTGTCACTTTTTTGCACTGCCGTCTCCGAATTCACAGTGTGTGCTCACACTTTCCATCATTGTGATAAGGCAGCTATGCATGGGAGCCGTTCCCATTTTAAGAGTGTCGTTTATCAAATTTGCTGCAACCCATGAATTCTTTCCATTGCTTCAGATGCAGTTTTAGCCAGCATCACGCTTCATAACAATGCTACCCAGCTAAAGAAAAAAAATGCTTCTTTTGTGTCCATATTCAAAATGTTAGCAGCCAGGAATAGTCCCAAACAACTAACTGCCCACGAAGTTTCAGTTGATAGGCTGTTGTAGGAAAAAACTGTACAGGTTTCTGTGGTTCAACAGCCTCTCGAATTTGGAATTCACATTAACGTTCAAGTCAGGAAAATCACTTTGAAAAAAAGAGTTAGTCGATTCTGGCTCTTCTGTTTCCATTCTTTCAGGGAAGGTGTTTGGCCAGGATTTCCCTTCTTCCTGTTTCTCGTGTAATGCTTTTAGGTTACAATCAAACCTTGATATAATGAACACAAATATAGAAAATTAATTATTAGGATAAAGTGAACAAATATAGTCTCGCAATATATGCAGTGTTAGAAAAAACATTTATAACACATTTTGGATATAACGAACTTATTTCTTGTAAGATGCAACTTTGTTATAATGAGGTTTGAGTGTATTCCAAAAGACGACTTTTGGTTTACGCCTGCTTTTCTAATTCTTCTAAAATCTCTAATTCTTCTCAATTATGCTGGTGAACTTTTTAACATTGATGATGTCATTGTTTTTGGTAAATCAGCTGAAGAACACCTGAAGAACCTAGAGACAGTGTTACAGCATATTAAAGACGCAGCAGGTCTGAAGCTGAACATTAAAAGTGTGTTTGGAATTCAAGAGCTTGAGTTCTTGGGCCACAAGGTGACACCTTGCAGTGTTTCACCACTGCCACTGCCAGGGAAAGGTAGACATGATTGTGTACACTGTTACAACCGGCGCCTGGGTCAACGAGGGAGCAGCGTTCTTTCTTCGTGAACTAAGCGCCTGGGTCAATGAGGGAGCAGCGTTCTTTCTTCGTGAACTAAGTCGCCGAAGGGCTGACGGCCTAATTTCTGCCGTGTACTGTCCTCACTAGTCGAAAAGTGAGGCACCATGCCGTCAGATGCCATGAACAGTTCTTCGAGACAATTACAAAGGTTTCCGCAGATGCAGCATCTTCCTTGAAAGAGACAGCGGCATCAGCCCCGATGACAACTCGCCCTGCTAATTGAGCAAGCAGTTCGGTGGACCCTTTTTAGCTTAGTGGTGGCGGCCCTTTTTGATGCACCTTGTCGTCTGAGCGTGGGACCCCTCCCCCAGCGGCACTCACACGATATGAAGGAGCCCTGTTGGTGCCCAATTGCAGTGCAGTAACCATGCCGCAATAGGTGACATTTGCCTGGGCGAGTGTGGGCATCACCCTCGCAAGTTGTATATGACATGTGATTGGACAATGCAATCTGCACCGTTTCCTCATTCTAGGGATGTGGGGAAAACATACTACTCTTCATAACGAGCCACCCAGCTCATTCAAAAGAGCTCGCCATGTACAGAATGTAAATAAACGCTCTGTTAAGTTCACCTTCCTCCTGCCTCAGCATCTTCCTCCGGAGTCGCCGGTGCCCCAATGACCAATTTCATATGTTTATTTTTCACAGCCAAATAGACAGATCAAGCGGTTCAACCGCACATTTAAGATGTCCCTAGGACAGCGTTCACTCTTAACCACTGTATGGGATTATCTCGCCACTTACCGGTGTACATCACATGCCACAATAGGAGTGACCCCTACAGTATTGCTTCATGAAAGGCTGCCAAAAACAAAACTTGACATCTCATCTTATTGCCAAGGTCCTTTGTTTAATGGCCTCAAACACCCTCTTCTCCCCCATTTCCAATATTGCCTGTGTATATACACACACGCACACATGAAAATGCATGCACAAATGTACGTAAAGTATGATTAAACTCCTCCGCTCAAAAATATTCTTGGCTATGCAACTAGCTGCCAGCTTCTCTGGCCTGCCTTCAAACCATCTGAAGCAATGGGCCTGTAACTGATGCAGCAGCCTTCAGGACCCACTAGTATCTTGCCCACAACATTCAGCATCTAGCAAAAAAGCCAGCGGCTAGTGTGATTATTTCATTCTGAAGATTGGGTTTCTGTAAAGAATGTCGGCTCATGATAAAACTTGGTTAATGTTTCTACTAAATTTTAACTTTAATCTTGTCATGTAACACAGATATGTATCACAGGAACTGATTCTTTGCATTTTCTGGTGGCAAGCATGTCATCAACATAAGTTCCCACAAAAAAGATGTAAAATATGTTTAGATCGTTCCAATAAACATTATAAATGTGAGCCGAAAAGGTGGCAGCGCCATCTCTTTGGCACAAAAGAAAGAGGCATAGGTGTGTGACCCCACATATGGGTCACGGCGCATGCAACTGGGGGATATACCAAATGGCCGACTGGTGGGTCACTCTGCATGTAAAACAAGACCTCAAGAAAGCATGCCTCAGTGACAGTGCTAAGATAACACAATCTGTTATCAAAAATGTTATAACATACTTTCAGTTTGGCCAGTAAGAGGTGTGCTCACAACAGCTGCTGCAGCATTAGCATGACAGGCAGCAGCACTGGAAATGCAAGTACTGTCCACTGTGGTCTGTACTGTCCAAGGAACATCTGTGGACAATGTAGCAGGCTGTGGAACAGCAGCAGGGCAGGTTTCCTTGGCAGACCTGAATGCAGAAAGCACAGGGCTAGGGCTGTCGGAGTGTCTTAATCCCCCTTCAAGCATTAATTTTTAAATGTAACCCTTAGACTACTCGTAACTGAAGCATTACCATTGAAGCCCTTCATTAGAGACACCAATGCAACAGACAGTTGTGTATAAGAAACACCAGTGTGCCTGAATAAAGTTGGGGGGGGGGGGGGGGGGGGAGTTCATACGGAAATGCAAATGTAGCACCCTGCTCATAAGATTGATTGATATGTGGGGTTTAACGTCCCAAAACTACTATATGATTATGAGAGACGCCGTAGTGGAGGGCTCCGGAAATTTAGACCACCTTGGGTTCTTTAACGTGCACCCAAATCTGAGCACACGGGCCTACAACATGCCCTGCTCATAAGAGACACCTTATATAAAAGATAAGAACTACTCCACTGTGAATGACTTTCGAAGGGTATATGCTGTATTCAATACACAGTACATGAACTTAGAAAATAAATTTAATTATCAAGGCCAAAGTTTTCATCAAATCCGAAAACTGGATGTCACCATCCCGCATTGGCAGCATTAATACAAGTTATGTGAGAATTATCATTATGTGATGATGCCACCATAATGTCACAGTAGACCTGTGCGCCGGCATTGAAATTGCCGGCAACGGCACGCCAATGTTTTCACCTTCGGCGGCGGCGCGAGACCGACGCGGGGCTCATCGGATCCGCGGTGGCGCGGTGCGGAATAGGGCGGGGGGGTATATTTTAGAGTGAGGAGAAAAGAGCAAGCAAAGAGTTGTTCTAATTGAGAAAAATGAAAAGAAATTTACCAATGCCATGAAAATATGGACTGTCTCGTTGAGCAAAGCTCTGTATTGCTAGATTCTGCTTCGATACTATGCAGCGCGCCGGTGGTGTTTCGTGGCTCTGGAGTACGACGGTGGAAGCTGCCTTCATTTTCCTGTGCTGCCCCTTGCCCTTTTTTTGCAGGAATTTGATAAAGGCCACGAAAACCGCCATCTCCAAGATGGAAGTATCCGACATAAAGAAGCACCTCGCGAGCTTCCCGCTAGGGAAGGCAGCATGCGCTGCCGCATCGGGAAGGGGTGGATTGGACCTAGCAATGTCTGTGCCTGAGTTTCTTATAAAGTGGATATTGTCCTAGCGATGTTATGAGCAGTTGTGAATACCTTTTGCCTTGACTACCACGCACATACTCAGTACTGAAAAATAAGGTGCAAAAAAAGAGCGTCGAAATGCAGCAACATGTGACCGGGCGCTAAAGTGACGGGAAGTCGCTATAACCGAGTGAATTCTGTCCAAAGGACCAGTAACAACGGATATAGCTGCCCGGTGACGAGAACAATAGCGCAAGATTTCGTGTGAAGTGCTGCACTCAAATGAGAGGAAGATTCGCATGTCCCCTCTCGTGTATTTATCTGACTTTCAGCAAGAACGTGGCTCATGTTCAAGCACATCTAATTGCTTAATCCCACAGTTACCCCACAGCAAGTTACCATGGCGCGCGCACGCACGCGCGCGCGCACACACACACACACACACACACACACACACACACACACACACACACACACACACACACACACACACACACACACACACACATTACCAAGGAATAATGTACAATCTGCCTACATTGCTCAATTGAATTCAGGATCGAAGGCATCAGTTTTTTTGGGGGGGGGGGGGGGGGGTGGAGGTGGGGGCATAGAATGCGTTTGCTCAAAGAATTTGACACAATGACACTTGGTTCGTTTTCTTTAGTTATGCACTTACTTATTTCCATGAATGAGTAGATGCCGATGGAATAAAGCATACAAACTTGCATACATATTTATCTGCCCAATAAAGTGATGAAAGACTCGTATAGAAGCAGTAGAAAAAGCAATGTCGTTAAAGGATACCATGATATGCGAAAGATAGTGTTTAATGCAACAAAAAAATATAGAACTCTCAACACCTCCACACCACCTATGGTTCGAGAACAACCAATACGATTAATGCAACCCAAGATCATTTATTTGCTAATTACACTCTTCCATGACTGTGATAATGTGAGGCACAACATGAAGCACGTCAAAAAAACACTGGAGTAGACCAAGCGAAATATGTGTCTAATCTCATTAAGAAGCACGAACATGTAACCAATATTTGCAAAAGGCTTCAGTACAGCGTCAGGTTAAACCCACTGCTGAATACCGGGACCACACGTTTTAGCTTTCGCTGGTTAACCATTTGTACAGAGTGCTTGATGAATAAACTTTCTTTCCGTATCTGGCATGTTTGTGGTCCGGACTGACCGCACAAGGAGGTACTGGGAGACCTTGTCTCCGTACAGCCTCCCTAGCCTGCTGGATAGCCTATTTTTGGTCTTCCGAGCTGTTTTTTTGGTCTTCCGAGCTATTTTTGGTCTTCCGAACTTCCGAGCTGAGCAGCACAAGCCGCCACTACTCCCGGAGCGTCTCAGGAGAACTTGTTGATAAGTTGGGGCATTCCCATAATTATGTTTGTAAGATGCCTTTTCTGTAACACATAGCTTACGTTAATTGTCCGGGTATAAGTGCGGGTAGCTCCTGTGGAGGTGCACAGGGTTTAAGTGAAGTAGCATTTCGTCTGTAGCTGTCAGTATTCCGATGCTTCTTGCCTGTTCAGACTTAGGTGAGGTGCGGGAAAGACGCCCCTTGCTTTTCCGTAGTGTTGCATGTATTCTGTGTAGCTCGTAAATCGGTCTTTGTGTGGTACGTCGGTGATTTTTTTTTTGCTCCTTTCGCTTGCAGAAGCTTATACAGATTCGTACAATAACCTTGAGAAAAATTGGGCGGTGCGGTCGTTCAACTATGATGGGAAGTACACAGTTAGGATCGAATTGCGTTAGCTAGCGAACTGCCTATGGGTGTTCTCAGTTTCAATTTGGTTCTGCGCGCAGCAGCTTCACCCGGCCTACAGTGTTCACAGGCATGCGTATATGTGTTTGTCGGCGAGTGGCGCAAGGAACAGTATTTTCTTGAAAGTGGCAGGAGCATGCTAGCTTTCCTGGTTAAGGCAATGTTGCATATTTATGTTTGGTATTTGATAGTTTTGGCAAAGTGTCGTTTACGTAACGATCCCCATTAATATATAATCCCAAATTTATCAAGGGAACTGCATAGATTTCATTTTATTGTCTGTACAATTCTCTCTTCCCTAGACGCACTCAATGTGGCTGAAAAACGACGATGAAGCAACGTAAACGCTCCTCAATGAACCTCCCAACGTTAAGATCTCTTCTACTTTGCACTGAATGGTCTTTACAGCAGAGTAAGAGATCTGTTGTATACAAACCACTGCTTTCAAGACCTTTCTGCGCATGATTGATTGATTTTGTGCGGTTTAACGTCCCAAAACCACCATATGATAATGAGAGTTAGTTATGTTGGGTTTCGTGGCGCAAGAGCAACTAAGGCTATGCTGCGCCAGACTCATGGTGAGAATACTTACAGCGAGCAGGGCTATGACAATGACTCTGAAATGTCTTAACGGCGATGACATATGGGATATGATGAGCGGTGAAGCGTGGCTGTATAAAGGCCTAAAAGGATTGGCTCCATAAACGTGTGAAGTATATATCTCTTCTAAGATTATGTGAGTGATGCTCGGGGTGGTCAATGTGTATGGTTGGTGCATGAGGTTATGTTAAACCGTAACGGCTTTTACATAGCACTAATACCATACCCGTGTCCTTATACCTAAGGGCAGGGAGGCAAGTGCCTCGTTGTAAATTCCAGCTGCAGCAGATGCTTCTCCGAAGAGGCTGTGCTACGAGTCACATCAGTCAAGTTTTGCCATGTCTAGCGGTAGCATAGTTTAGTATAGTTAGACCTTGTTCAGAAGTTGTGCTTCATTTAAAAAGCTGATCACATCAGCTATGGGTATTAGGGCGTCATCGCCCAAGAGTAGCATTGGATAAAAGGGAATATTTAACCTGTAAAACATACAGAAATGTTTTTCTCTTAATGTTTCCATATGTGGGCAAGCTATTAAAATGTGCATTACAGTTAGTTGCTCCTGACACTTATCGCATGTTGGGGCTTCTTCGCCTGCCAATAGATAATTATGTGTGATGTGCGTATGAACTATTCGTAGTCGACATATAACTACTTCGATAAAACGTGCTTGATGAAGACCGGTCTTCCATTTACCAAGAACAGGTTTAATTAGGTGAAGTTTGTTGTTTTGTTGTGATTTCCATTCCTGCTGCCAGTGACAGGTGGTGGCCCGGCGAACAGCTTGAATCCCATCTCTGGCAGGTATGTTGGTTTCTCTTTTGCTGTTGCAGCTAGTTGCTGCCCTTTCATTGCCTGGGATCCCGACATGACTCGGGACCCAACAGAGGCGTATGGTGTGGTCATCAGGTGTGTGGGATAGCATGTTTAAAATATCGCCTATGAATGGCTCATACTGAGATTTATAATTGAGACTTTTCAGTGCGCTTAACGAGTCTGTAAATATTACAGCTTTTTTATGTTTTGAGCTTATAATGTATCGTACTGCCATCCATAACGCATAGCACTCAGCGGTGTAGATGGATACAAACTGCGGTAGTCTAGTTATTTGCTCGTGTGTTGCTCCTACCACACTGCTTCCGACATAAGCAGATGTCTTCGAACCATCAGTATAAAATTCTTTGTAAGTGTTGTACGTTTGTTGTAATGTAAGGAATTCTTGTAGTATATGTTCACGTGGGGTGTTTTGTTTTTTTTATATGCGTGAGTGAAAAATCCAAGAATTTGGAGAAATCGCTCCATGGGGCCAAACTGGGTGGCCTTCTGGCGATGGAGAGTGCTTCGTTAGGAATATTCAGGGCGTGAAATTTTTCTTCAAATCTTAGTATTAGCGGCTTAATTACGTTTGGTTTGTTGGCGTAGTGTTGTCGTAGGTCACAGCGTGTGACAATACTGTGGCATATATGATCTGGTGAAGAACGAACTCTAAGGACATACGTGAGCATTAGTTT